CCCCAAAACCCCAAAACCCCAAAACCCCAAAACCCCAAAACCCCAAAACCCCAGCCAATAAAAATATTATTGAATTCTTATCTAATTTAATCTACAATGGGAGGTCAGTGAACGAACTATGCTGAACTTGAAAGCAGTCGGTCTCATAAGGTCGGCAAAAAGATTGTAAACATCTCTAAAGACACTAAGTTAATGGAGCAAAAATACCTTGAGAATTTAGTACAATTAGAGGTTAGATTCATGACCGTACTTCCTGCATTCTTACAGTCCGATAGTAAGAAGTATAAAATAAAATATAATGTATTCTATGGCTCTGTGATGCAAGAATGGGTGGAAGAAGCCAGCGATATTTTCTACACCTCAAAAAGAGTCTTTGAGTTCGATTATTGCATCACACAAGATGATCAAAAAATTTATGCGAAAATTAATTTTGAGACTGATCAAGGAAATTTCTTCAAGAAATCGATATTTGGTGATTCGTCAGATTATGACATCGTTGATACTCCTCATGAGCAAGAGTATTACTACAAGATGGAAGCGTGATATGACCTACACGAGACCTTACTACTTAAAGGGCTTTTTGGAGATGCTGAAAACTTGAAATCCAATATTCCTATTGCGGTTGGAGAAAATTCTGGATCAGATTTTGAAGATAAATACGAACACTCAGCATCAATTATCAGGGCATCAATAGTTGAAAAGTGACATAAACCAATGAAAATTGAATTTGAGCTGAATGGGATGTTCCACTCGGAGAAATATCACCTGATGGTTTCTATCTACGAGAAGATAGGAAGCAACAAGCGAATTGTCTTTGAAACACAACCAACAGCTAGATCTCCGCCTGTAAATGGTCGTCCTGGTCTGTTCTATTTTGGAAAAATTTGAATGAATTCTGATGTTTTTGAAGCTGAAGTATTAGGCTCTGTTCACCTAGATTTTGAGCTCAAGAGAGTAAAATATAACAAAAAGGGTAAAGAAAGCACAAAGGTTCTAGGACATGATAGTTGCAAACTTAGAAGCATCAGAAGCCTTGACGAAAGAGTGAAACTTCAGTTGAATATTCAGAAAAAGAAAAGCCTAAGAGGAACATTAAGCTTAGGAAATCCTCTCTGAACCCCATTATTTTCTTTTCTCGATTACAAGCTTAACTTAGATTTACATGTTGTCCCAATCATTGCTATAGATTACTCTTTAGGTAATCTTACCTTCGATATGGAGAAGAAATGACTTCACACTTTAAAAGAAGGTGAGGAAAATGATTACATATCAATTTTGAGCCAAATTAACAAGATATATCAGCATCTGTGACCGTATGTGCTAGGTTACGGAATGGGTGGTAAAACTATTGCCAACCAGAAAAACGCATCCAACCTGTTTGCTCTATCTGGAGATATGTTTGACCCAATAGTAGAGAGGGATGAGCTCGTGGAGAAATATAGTGAAGTATTTAGTAAAATCATCCTTTCCCTACCTATAAATTATTCTCCAGTTTTAGAACTTGTGGTACGTATGGCCAGACATGAACAGATGACAGGAAACTCTCAGAAATTCTTCAGTTTAATCTATATCACCCCTGGTGTAATTGACGACTTTGATAACACTACTTCAATCGCAAAATGAATTGGAGACTTGCCAATGTGAGTAACTGTTATCCAACTTAAAAATGAACAGCTGAATGAGACTAATGATATCAAGACACTTTCACAGAGCTTACGCCCAGAATTTGAAGAAGCTGAGAGAGAATTTGTGACCTACTTGGATTACAGCAAATTCAAAAACATTCAAGATCCAACTATTTTCGAAGAAATGCTCGTCAAGGATATTCCTATAAACGTGAAAAGATATCTGGCTAGACAAAATGTGTTCCCTTATCAGCCTGATCTTAGCGACTTTGGGACAAAGACATCTGCATCTCAGAAAAGAAAGGAAGTCGTTAAAGAGGCTATGAATAGCCAGCTTAGTTATTATGATAAATTTGGACATCTTTCTCCAAGAGAAAACTGAGAATACGAGGAAGAGAAAATTGACCCAAGCTTAAAGATTCTCATAGAGGAAGATAGCACAAAACCGAAAAATGATGTGATCGAAAGAGGAAGCTCTGAAGACAGCAGCCGAGGATCATGGCAATACGATAAGAGACATCTTCCATTTATCGATATTATGAAAAAGGATTACCTCAAACTTGCTCCTGAGGATGATCCTCCCATGAGGGAAAAACTTGATGAATTCATCAAATCTGGAGAAGTCTTTGACAACAGCAAGGAGTATATGCTCCATCTTCTCAGTACAGAGGTTGAGCAAGGAAATTAACTTAACACCTTTATCTACTCCTAAACTGTTTCATTAACATCGTTCTTAGTAATAATAATTCTCATGATTTGTTCAATCTTGGTAGAGAAAGAAGGGGTTTTGGGGTTTTGGGGTTTTGGGGTTTTGGGGTTTTGGGGTTTTGGGG